TGCTTCAACAAACTGAAAATTTACAGACATAGCTAAGACATTTGTCTATATTCCTCATGATTTCTAGAAATGTAACTCAACTCGTTTGCGAGATATAATAGTTAGTATCCTTTCCTATCACCCATAGCCGTGCGTATAGCCGGCTGCACGCAATAGGCGCCTATGCGCGATACCGTTCGCATATATTTAGTAATTAATTAGACTACTCGTGCTTCAACAAACTGAAAATTTACAGAGATTATAGCTAAGACATTTGTCTATATTCCTTATGATTTCTAGAAATGTAACTCAACTCGTTTGCAAGATATAATAGTTAGTATCCTTTCCTATCACCCATAGCCGTGCGTATAGCCGGCTGCACGCAATAGGCGCCTATGCGCGATACCGTTCGCATATATTTAGTAATTAATTAGACTAGCTACTCGTGCTTCAACAAAACTAAAAATTTACAGACATTATAGCTAAGACATTTGTCTATATTCCTCATGATTTCTAGAAATGTAACTCAACTCGTTTGCAAGATATTAGTTATTGTTATTATTATATTGTTAGTATCCTTTCCTATCACCCATAGCCGTGCGTATATTATCTATGAGCGCCGATCGTTGCCCCCTTTTCCATCCCATCATGCTTTGCGGCGGGGCGCCATCTGGTGATATTTAACGATTGGCGATAAGGCTTATAGTGACGCTCAAGGGGTCGTTGTCGTAACAGGTACTACAGATATGTACCCGAGGTACAAAGTGTACTAGACTTGTACTACAGAAGTGTACCCTAACCCTAACACTAACCCTAACCCTAACCCTAACTCTAACCCTAACCCTAACCCTAAACATACCTCATATAAAAATATAAACATAATACTAAACAACCTAGAAACTACCTCGGGTACATATCTGGGTTCAAGGATAGAGAACATGGGTCCCAATAAAACCAATGTAATTTACATCAATATAATAGATTAGGGTTATGGTTAGGGTTAGGATTAGGGTTAGAGTTAGGGTTAGGTTTAGGCACATTGGTTTTATTGGGACCCATGTTGTACCCAAACTTGGAATCTGCACAATCTCGAGATTGTGCAGCGATTGTGCTGCCCAAACTGTGGATTCCCTAGTTTGGCTGACCAATCTCAAGATTGGGCAAACTGAAAACAGTTGGTGATTCAACAACCGCTCATAGCGAGTGTGTGGTGTGCATGGTGCAAACTAGGAAGAGATTTGTCTCATATTAAATCTTATCCAATTATTTATTATAATCATTTAATATTTATACAAAGGTGCCAAACACATTGAGGAAAGAAGGTATACGACCTTATAGTTATGATATAACATTTGAAATTCAATAATCATATGTTTGTGCAAGCTCTGTTTACCTCTGTTTGCCCAATCTCAAGATTGGTTGCCCAAACTGCGGAAGCGCTGAAATTCCAAGTTTGTGCAAGATTCCAAGTTTGGGCACAACACCCATGTTCTCTATCCTTGGGCCCATATCTGTAGTACCTGTTACGACAACGACCCTTCGTGCGATAGTGACACTGCCACTAACAAAAGTTATTCTTCGTACATGATTGACAATGACATTGATTGCAATAACGTCGGGTTCATAGATAGTACTACTTCATCTTCTTCTTGTTTGCGAGGCTTTATCCCGGGACATGTTTTAAAGCCCCTGTAAGTTGAAACTAGACTACAATTTATTATTTGTAGTTTTCACCGTGGATTGTGATAAAAAGATAAGTTGTGAAGCACAGAAATTTGGTGTGTCAATTCGGCTAGGTGTTTTACATTATCGGTAATTTCTTTTATACCCCTTTTAATAGTCGAGATTGGCCCACCGTTTGCTTGGTTATCCATATCTGTTGCTTGGTTGGCCAATTGAGAGTCCATGATCATCCATGGTCTCGAATGTTTGATAGCCAGGATTTTACACCTTCAGAAAATTTAGTGTGATTTGTGTGAGTTATCGTGGTGCTTTTGATTTCTCTTTTAATAGCTACACGATGTTGATGGAAATAGTCTACCAATTGATTCCAGCAAGCCCAATCCGAATGATATTGAGTTTGACAATTTATACTTGGACATGAATGGCATCATTCATCCTTGCTGTCACCCGGAGAATAAGTATGTAAATAGCAATTGCATTAGTCTTTCGAGAATTGCAATAGAACAAGATGAAAGATTGATTGATTGATAATTCTTATCCATCTCAAACCTTGTAATCATCATTTTTATTTGATACATTAGCATTAACATTCTACTTGACTGGATATGCATTGTACATTCTATACTGTCAATTTGGAATTTACTCCTGGGATACAAGCGTGGATTAATTTTGAAGATTTCCCTAGCTTTCCCTTTTCTTTTATAGGCCTGCTCCCAAGAATGAAGATGAAATGATGGTGTTAATATTTGAGTACATCGACAGGCTGTTTAGAATTGTAAGACCTAGGAAATTGCTGTATATGGCAATTGATGGAGTGGTAAGTAGTAATATCCATATCAGAAGTTCATATTAGGTAATTGATCTGTTTATTATGAACTTATATATATATGTCAAGAGCTAATAATACCTAGAGTGTACAACGGAAAAACGGGAAAATAGTGCTATTTCACGACAACATTATTCTACTTTGCCTGCGAGTCTATAATAATTT